TGTGTGTGTGTGTGTATACATACATACATGTAATGTTGATGTTATTGCCCAATTCCGTATTTGAGATGACTATTCTATTTTATACATGAATGTTGTAATGGTTCTAAATATACATATATTTCAAATTGCCATCGCGTGGAGCTATTCAAACGACTCTTTTAAATTAATGGCGATGTATAATTCATTTTTTGAATTCCAGTTAAATTATATTTAGGATAGTAATACATATTTGACTTAATTAGTTAATTAAGTCCGTGTTTGTTATACAATTTCGACCGCCGTATTTGTTTATATAGTGTACCACTGGCAAATAATACTAAGGAAATTAAAAACATTTGTAATGGTCTTAATATGTTTCTCACCCGACCCAATGTCGTACTCATAAACCAACTATACTGGAGACCTTCTGTATTAAATTTGCATAGCCCTGTCATACTCTCTGTTTAACTGATATTTGTTTGCTTCTCTGTGCATACAGATTCTGCTGACAGCGTAAATTACACTGGAATTAAAATACACGGTATTTCGCACACACTGACGTGTACATTAATTATCAACGTGTAGATATCGAAACCCGCATTATACCACTCAGTATGTCGTACGTGAACATTTCATCTGACAACACAACTGATAATTCAGGTAACGAATCCATCGACGATATCCTGTTTGATGTAGCTGTTGGATTTGTCGGTATACTTGGCATATTGGGAAACGCAGTTGTATGTGTCGTATTTTTGAAGGTGAAATCGCTAAGAACTATGACAAATATGTTTATATTGAACCAATCGTTGATTGACCTGAGCAGCTCGCTTATTTTTATCCTGAGCTACCTTGGACCAACGATGGACCCGCTTCCGAACAATATTACAGGAACAATCTTTTGCAAGTTCTGGGTTTCATTGTATCCTCTGTGGTCGCTGTTCGATTCATCATCGTTGAACCTCGTCGCTATTACAATCGAAAGGTATTTCGCTATTGTACATCCGGTGATGCATTTGAATAAGTTCACCATGAGTGGGGTGCATAAGACTATGAGGCCTCATTTGGGTGGCGGGTCTGATAAATGAGTGGTTCTGGCCGTATGTGCATTTTACTAAAGATGGAGAATGTGTCAATCAATGGCCGAGCGAACACCTCAGTCGCTTTGTTGGAGTCGTCGTTTTTGTTGTCGAATATGCTTTTCCGATGACGGTGTTTGTGTACTGTTATGTTAAAATATATCTTGCACTGCGCAATCGCATGAATGAACAAATTAAAGACGGTCTTGCGCCCAACGTAAATGGCACAATGAACAAAGCGTCGAAAAATGTCACAACGACGTTGTGCGTGGTGGTGATCACATATTTCATATGTTGGACAGTGCCTTCTTTAGCATACTTTCAAAACTGGGTGTTTGGCGGGCCGTTGGATTGGAATGGGCCATTCTACAAGTTCACGGTCATCTCTGTGTTTTGCAACGTATGTTGCAATCCTATAATATACGCTTT